GTGGGTGATGTTTCACACCTCTCTTGTTCAGTGGGGCGCCAGCTTGGTTGCTAGCAAGGGAGGAGGGGCCTGGATGGTGAGCAGGCCCCGTCTATGTATACACTGGGCCTCCTGCTCGGCCTTGGTCTCCAGCTCAGCTGAGTGCAGAGCTCATTTGCCAATCACTTTGCCAGGGTGGGAGGGGGGAGGAGAGGGGCTCTGTGAGGCCTGGCTGAGTGGTGGGTGAGCAGTCACCCAGGTAAGGGCAAGGAGAATGGGCAACACTCTAGCAAGAGGGACTAAGGGCAGAGATGAAGAGGGACTCTTGAGTCCTTAGAGGGTCATCAGACCTTGGGGAACTGCAGGCTCTGCTTCTTTAGAGACAGAAAAACGGCAGAATCCTTCATGTGGCTTAAGGGCCGCTGATTCAGGAGGAGCTGGAAGGTGGGCCAGCTGGTCCACCCTGCTCCTCCTGCCATGCATTTTTGGTGGAAGTCAATGAGCACATTCTTTAAATGGAAGGACCCCAGAGGAGGGCAGAGGGGCTCTCCCAGGACTCTGCTTTGAGCAATGCTTGTGTCGGGACTTGTCCTCATACCCCAGGAGCAGCCGCCCGACAGAATTGGGCCTTTTTCTTCCCCGCTCTTCTCTGACAATTTGCCCCTGTGCTGGCCTCTGCATCCTTGCCCGCCTTGATCTGCAGAGGAACAGGGAGTGGTTTTGGCGGTTGGCACAGGGGGAGCTGTTGATGGCATGAGGCCCTATCATCTGACAGCTGCCTGACCCATGGTGGGGAGGGCCCCAGAGGGAGGTGCTGGGGCAGCAGGAGGCAGCTTCTGCAGGCAGCAGCACTTCTGTGGTGAGCCCACCGCTGCTGCCACATTGCCCTGGGGCAGCCCTGCACGGTGGAGGCGTACTCCGGGAGGAGCGGGAGCATGTCTCTCAAATTAGTGGGGAAGGCTCTGTTCAAGGTATGAGCGGGTCCCCTAGGCACAGAGTACACATGTCAGAGAGGGGCCCTTGTCCGAGTTTGTGATGTTTCTGGGGCCGGGATGCAGGGGAGAAATTAATTTTTGAAGTATCTACTACTAAGGATTGACTAGCTTAATGCATGCAAAGCATATGATATGTGCTCAATAAATGCTAGCTGTCTTATGACTGTTATTTTGACCGAGGGCCAGGAGCTAGGCTGGGTAATTTTTTGATCCCGTGACATCCCCTATGGCACATGCTGTGACCCCATTTTGTAGATAAGCAAGCAGAGGCTTGGAGGGGCTCAATGACTCAATGCTTTCTCCATTTCTTCCTGGGACCATGGCTTGGATCTAATGTTACCCAGGACTTCCAACCCTTGGCGGGGGACAGGGTGGTGGTATGTGAACCAAGACTTTTAGCCAATGGTCTAGAAACTCTTATAGGTCAAGTCCTAGAACTGCTGCTCCCACCCTGGGTCTGATGGATCCCTGAAGGTAAAGCTACAGTGAGAGAGAGTGAAGTTAGACATCAAGAACTTTTTGACACAAAGGTGTGTATGACTTTGGTCTTGGGGAGGGAAAAGGTGACTGTTTAGTTGGGACTGGAGGTTTTATTTAGGAGAAAGTTTTGTTGATCTGGGATGAATGTGTGTGAAGGGGTGGGTAAGGGTGGCGTCTTGTCCGGATATGGGAGGAAGGACAAGCTGAGTTTTGGTTATTAGTCTAGTTTAAAGAGCGTGCGAAAGGCTAAGCAGATTCCAGAATGGCCTGGATACTGCAAAGGAGGAGAGGAAACTTAAGTTTTAAGGTCCCAGACACCTGTTGCTGGTTGGGTGACCTCAGGATGATTGAGTCAGTCCCCTGCCCAGCCAGTGGGTTCTCTCACCGTCTGCCCCAGGTGAAGGGACCTGTTTTCAGGGCGACGTGGTTGAAGCTCTGGGCCTGCTGCTATGATAACAGGCCTGTTTGTTGAGCTGTTTTCCTGTCTCTGGCCCATGGCCCAGGACTCAGAGCAGGAATGGCTGTTTTCTTCCGACGGTTGGTTGTAGTGGAGTTCATGGATGGTGTGCTGTGTCGCACTTTGTTTTGGAAAAATCCAGGCTGGTGGGCAGGAAGGAGAGAGGAAGGGGTGTGGCTGGAGGGCTGGTGTCAGAGGAGAGGGTGGCCACAGCCCCCAGAGGAGACATAGGAATGGGGATGGGCTCCTGACGTAGGTTGGTCACCGATTTCTGGCTGCCTGACGTGGCCCCTGGTATTGCTTACAGACCCTCCTCCCAAATGTGCCCCCTGGGGACCGGGGCTCAGGAAACAGCTTTTCTTTTGGTCCAGAGCTGTTGTGTTTGGTCTGTGGACCTCAAAGGAAGGCAGGACTCTTTCCACACAGTGGTTGCTCTAACCAGCCCCACCCAAGTCCTGGCGTTCAGCTCCCTGCTGCATGGTGGGGAAGAGGGTGGATAACAGAGCCTAAGGCCATAGCCTGAGGCGCTCAGGAATGGCTGAGTGGCAGTCAGCAGTGAGGGCCAAGGCAAAAAGAGTTGGCTGGATCTGCAGTAGGAAGGGTGAGGGTCAGATACCAGGAAGAACTTACCGGTAGTAAGAGAAGTAAGACCCTGTTTGGAGAGGCTGTGGAATTTCCTTTGGTGGTGTTCTGTCAACAAAGGAGAGACTATTTTGGTGATGACAATAGGGGAGAGTTCTTCTTGGTGCACAGGGAATTGAATCAAAAGTCCTACTATTGATCTATGTCCTGGTAGGAGCTGGGAGGAAGTTCAAAGCCATGTGGATGAAGGGCTTTGAGAGTCTCCGTGAGGAAAAGATTGGGATTACGGGCAAGCAGAGAGCTTATTTTTCTTTTCAAAATAAAATCTTTGTAGTACTATTGTAGAGCCTTCTGGTAGTTTTCCCTAAGGGCTCTAAGTGGAACAGGTCAGTGATGTGAAATCACATGAGACTGTGCTGGACGCATTTTATAGATTGCTTGGTGAGAACGAGGGGCTGCTTCTCCCAGGGCCCCGTTGATGAATACCTTTCTTCTGAGAACATAAGCTCTCTGAGGTCAGGTCCTCCTCTGGCCCCTGGTGCCTAGAATGCTGCCAGGCACACAGCCTGTAGCTCTCAGTGAAAGTTTACTGACTAAGGGAGTGAGCACAATGCTGGGTGGCAGAGATGACCACATCTTTCCCATCTCCCAGCCCTCTTGAAAAAGGCCTGCATGATTAGACACGCTGGAAAACGCCTGTTTCTAGCCTCGTGTGTGAGGTCACCTGTGTTTTTTGAGCATTAGGTTGTGTTTGCTCACATGCCCCCTGCTCCCCCAGCCCCCGCCTATTTTTGGTTCTCTAGTTCTCCCTGTGGCTCTGTGTCCACCAACACTCGAACGTGTCACCTGTGCACATCTGTTTTCTGCCAGCGAGTGTCACATGCCCCCAAACTTTGCAGAAAACAGGAAGCCCCATCGGTTAGAGGGCAGCCCAGTGATTCATCAGCGGATGACCATCCAGCTGTTCGTCCCAGTCCTCTGTGGTGGGGTCACTGTCCAGGGCAGCTTCTCCCCTGCCTCCACTTTCCTGGCTGGCCCACTGGAGCAGAGCAGGCTTGGACTTTGTCTTATCACCTCTGGAGGCGGCATGGCCAGACTTGGTTGGGGCCAAGTTTTTATTTATCTTCCCTGGCTTTTTTGGGGTGGGGAGGCTAAGGAATGTGGAGTGTTGTAACGTTGGGAAGGGGGGTGGGGAAACGGGAGCCAGCTCTCCTGCCCTGCTCATCCTTCTCACCCTGTGCTACGGAAGCTCCAGGTCCCCCTCGGCCCTCCAGTCCCGTCACCAGGCCTGTCCCAATATCCCATTGTCTTCCTGTCTCCCTGGGCCTGGACCCTTGGTCCTGGCCACACCTCAAGCCCTGGCTATGGTTGTGGCTTACAGTTGTTTGAAGCAGCTGTGGTGGCTGCCTCCAAAAGTGGCTGTAGATCAGCAGCAGATGAATCCCGAGGGGCTATTTATAGTGGGGTGGCCCTGGGGCCTGGAGCCGGGCCGATGGTCTGGGGAGGCTCAGTGACTCCTCGTCAGGGCCCAGCAGAGTGGAGATAGATGAAGTGTTGGGTTTCTGCGTTCCTCTGGGTGGGTAGTTTTGGAACAGCCTGGTTTGGGGCTTGAAAACCAAATACAACCCTCCTTACCCCCCCCCCCCCCCCCCCCCCCCCCCCCCCCCACCAAAAAAAAAAAAAAAAAA